AAACATCTGGGTAGGTGGTTTGCTTTCACCATAAAAATCCCACGGGATTACATATGCTCCCTGACTATCTACTCACATTGCCACAGTTATAATACAGTAATAAAAATAATTAATTGCATGTATATTATTAACGCAGAGACAACAAACTAATAAATTACGTAAATCTTTGTATTTTAGGAATACACGTACGTATTTTGAAGGAGCTTGTACAGCTCTTAGACGTGACGTGTCCAAATAAAGTATTGTATTACGTTGTATTGTATTGCAAGAAGTAATCAAATGCTTTTTGTCGTAATCATTTGATTAGTCTTTAAAACATTTATTTGTACTTTTTTTTAAATTGCACTCGAAATCATTTGATTATCTATACAATTGATATAAAATCAATTCTATAATGTTATTGACGGAGAATAGTAATATGGTCTATTAGGAATACTAAACAAACAGATGCTGCAAATAGGAACGAATGCTTGTAAAAAATGCTAAGTAGTGGGAGACTGACAAGTTTGTTATTTTCAAAGCGTTGGGGAGTGGGAATCGGGACAACCGAAGACAAATCTTTCGAGTGGAAGAAAAGAGGATTTCAACCCCGGGATTTAATATTTCTGGCGAAGATGAATGTATGGAAATACGTTCAAGTTGTTTCAAAAACGTTATTGTTGATAATGACATGAAATTATCACCTTTGCATTGATATCAGCTAAACTCATGGTCAGTAATGAACCTCGTATGCATTTTAAAACCCTCGTGAATTTTTTTTGTTTTGTTTGCGGTTAATATTTTCGTTTCTTGTGTCAATTTGTTGTTACTTCTAGTAATATGAGCACCAACCATTTGGAGGAGATGCCGCCTGCATTGTTCTCAAACACCAGCAGTCTCAAGGAATTGTACGTATAGCTAGTATTTTGTTGCATTCTCATTACATGGGTTTCGGCTAAGGAAAGAAAGGAACCATGAAAGCATTAACCTGCTCGTTTTGTCCAGAAACTACTTGTCAAATATCATTATTACATTAAGCGTAGGCATTTTGACTTTGAGAAGTTACCACTTCAAGCGGGAAACTAAATGGCAAGAAAGGATTTCTCGCGCTTTGTATTAGAAATTTGGTGAGAACAATTTATTGTAGCACGATAAACAAAGGTTTTAGTTTTTAAAAATACGAC